TCCAGACCGAAAGAAAGCATTACCTGCACAGCGTCTATAATTATTTTTCTTTAGCCATAGCCATTTTGAGTCGGGGAACAATCCAGCGGAAGTGTTTTCTCAGTTCCGACTTGGCAACTTAAACAAAGAAATTAACAGTTGTCTGATGGATCAGTTGTTAAAGTCAATTAATCCAGATGGGTTTGATTACATGGGCCAGAAACTGAATTTGAAGAGGGCACTTGAGCGTAAAGGAAGTAATCATTAAAGCGACCAGGTGCGTTTTTGATAGATTAGGAGCAGTAATAGATTGGGAGCAGCAATAGATTCAAGCAAAGACTTCAGAAGCAAGTAAAAGTGTGCAATGTAGCCGGAGTGATCAGCATTGAGATTTTCCAATCAAAATGATAGATTTGAACCCAAATTCACAGTCAACCCACAGAACAAAGAAAACAAAAGACAGGTAATGGAATGGATTTAGATTGGAATTTCTATGTAGAGGTGGGATGCATGCAATTCTCAGTTCGGTTTGGTTCCGATACTCTTAAGCATGGTGATGGGTTTCCAGATGTGTCAAGACACCCGGCTGACCCAAAAGAAATGCAAATGAACGAAAATAACAGAACTGAAATCAAATCAGAGGCAAAACAAAATTAAAACAAATTATTTGAGATATTTATGACCAGGCAAATTGACATTATCATGCTTGAATTAGGTACAAAAGGCAAAACTATTAGGCTGGTGAAGTGACAAAATATTGTGCTAAGTTTATCATATTTCCATTTACCCTCATGAGAATCACCTATATCACAGGAACAGTAATAGTGTAATACAGGACTGAATAGCAACAGGTTTGACATTGTAAATTTGGAGTTTGTTCAATAATTGGTGACAAAGGTTATATTCTCTAGGGGAAAGAATTACCATTAAATCAAAGAGGAATGGTGGATGGAAATATATTAGCTTTTCTAAAATTACAAACAGGCAGGACAGATATATTTCTTGACCCCGATCAGTACAAGTAAAAGAATTTACATCAGTGTAGTTTGCTGTCGTTCAGTTATCGTTTGGCTAATGGGCAGCCTCATCAAATTTAAGCTAAAATAGTACTCACATCATTTGAGTTCATAAAGACTTGATTGACTCAAAAGCCCCAAACTCAGCTAAGCGTTGGAAAAAGAGCTGCAACATTTTTGACAGCAAAGGCTATTTGACATGAGCTGACCAAACAAAGATTGCTAGCAATTTTTACATTCTTGAACACAAAAAAAAACAAATCCCTTAGTGCCAAACCTGGCATAAAACGTTGGTTCTTGGAATGGTACCAATAATCACACTGGTTTCAGTTATTGAACAACCATTTTCTGAAAATAAATTCCATCGCTTCATCTAATACCATGTTTTCAGGAAAACATTCTATCAACTATGAAACCAAAGCTGCTTTAGAATTTTCTATATACTTTCCGACACTTCACATGCCCAGTTATGAATAAACAGAGTTGAGAGATTGAACTCTTAAGTAAATTATTCCCGTCCCCCCTTCCCTTCATCATAAATCCTCCAATGGTGCTCTCAGCCAAGAGGTAAACAAGAGGAACTTGGGGGTGACTCACTCTCCAATATTCCCGCTCTCTTCATGCTATTGTGGCTGAAGTTAACTTAACTTTAACTGAACAAAGTGGGGAACAACATTCACAACCCTTCACACAGTGGTAAATTGGATAAACTTTTGACTCAGTCCCCAAATTTATCAAACGCGCTCTGTCACCATGAAACCTGAAGCCTTTCAATATTTTTTTATTATCCATCTCAAATAAGTAATAACACTTGATACTGGATCAGTGAACTGTAATATCAGAGTCTGAAGGACAACATTTAGCAATGAAAATGTGAGGGGCCTTAGGAGACTCGTCAAATTTTTAATACCGGCAGCATTTCACGGGCAATTGGAACGGACAATATTCTGACAAGAGAAGAGACAATTAACATCACAACTTCCCACCAGTCCACCTCCTCATTGGGGAGCGCAGTGGCAGTGAAGGGACTGTCTCAATCATATTCTCAATTATATTCGGGTGTCATAAACCAGGAGATCCTGTAAAGATAACTTTTAAAGCAACTTAAGAAATTCTGAACACCCTCTCCCTGATAAAAACAGCAACGATTGATACTTATACAGCGGCTTTCACTTTGGGAGAACGTCACAAGGCACTTTACAGGACTGAGCGGGAGCACAAGCTCGAAGGGTGTTGGTGAGCGTCAGGTGACTGAAGGCGACTGAGAGCCCAGAAGTGCAGACAAAGGAATAAGTGGTATAAGGTAGGAAACAAACTACAAGCCATAAGACATTATATGTTATAAGGCAGTGTCTGGAGAGAAGCGCAACTACTGTACAAGATTCCTCCATCAGGATGACAACATTTGTCTACAATTCCTTCCACCATGACCCAACTGTGCAGCGCCTTGGGACGTCCTCCTGACGTGAAAGGCGCTTTATAAATGGAATCTTGTTGTTGTTGTTGTTGTTTAGTGTTGAGCATCAAATACAGAGAGGCTTTGACTCCATCTGCTCTTTGCCCTGAAATGAAATGCTTAGAAAATACCAGCTCTCAATAAGGGACGTTTCTATTTCAAGGTTAGTAAGGAATGCAATATGACTTGGGATGAGATGGTGATATACATTAATGTACTTCGGTCTCACTTTCACTGCTGATATCGCAGTGTGTGCTTTCAGAATAAAATTAGTAACATCATTCAAGGCCACTGTCTCGGACTTCTATGATTTGCATATATTAGAATTTCCCTCGTTTAAAATCATAAGGTTGTGAGAGTTTCAGACACCAAGTAGGAAACCCAGGTTTCAGGGTTTTTTTTTTTTGCTCATTGTTGCATCGAATTTGAAATCTTCTGATCCGATAACACTCCATATTTTGCGGAGATTTCAATCTTCTAAAGTTTCATTAACTAACAAACTGTTTTCAGAATGCTTACGAACTTGTACAAAAGCTTGGTCAAGTGGTTAGTTTTACGATTGATACCTTCACACTTAAGTGAAGAGAAATACGTGTCAAAGAAAAATCAATTGCAGAAAACACACTAAATGTGCATAGTTCGCTTCAATAATTAAACTGCATTTAAAAACATCATTCCAAAGCGGGGGGAATGGGGAGGGGGGAACTAAAGTTGGGAGACTATGCATCCAGCAGACAAGGAAGTCAAAATGGGACAATGAATGTACCAGGACTTTATGCAACATTTTGTTGTGTGTCAATTTTTTCCCCCAAAGTGTTTCCTCATTTGTCATGAAGTTGGGTAACTTGCACGAATAATATTTACGCTTTTCACCCGCGCCGCTATTCTACGGTTTGCTGCAAATAGTGTACATTTCAATACAAATAACCAACAATAATCCGATCACTCAATCCGCGACTGTTTGTGGGGGGGGGGGGGGGGGGAAAGACACTGTCGTGCGCAATTGGGGGCTGCGTTTCTCCCACGAAACACACAGTCCATTCACTCGACGGTATATCCCGCGAAGCGCTTTGAGACGTCTCGACGCCGCGACAAGGCGCTCTATCGAACGCAAGGATTATCGCCGCTACGATTACATTTTGGATATATCTGGAATGGCCTCAAACTCAGATCCGGTCCAAAAAGAAAAAGAAAAAAAAGAGAATAAAAAGGTGCAAAGCAAAAAAGGAAGACAGAAAAACAGCTGCTGCGGCTGCGTTTGGAGGCAGAGCACGATTTGACCCCTTTTTTTTTGAAAAAATAAATAAACAAGAAAAATCAGAAAGAGGGTCGGTTGTCCTGCCGGCCCTGGCGCTGGCCTGTCTCGCTCCCCTGTACGCTATCCATCTGCAATGCCGCTGCTGTGGTCCTCAGTGCAGTGTCTCGCTGTATCCAGCAGCTCAGCATCCTCAGCATCTACCCCCCCCCTCCCCTCACCCCCCACCCCGCAAACCCTCCCCACAACCACCACCACCGCCGCCACCCCACCAACCCCCCCCCCACTTAGTTGCAGCGTAGCGTAACCTTTCCATTCACCTTGCTCTGCGGGATTCATAGCCCAACACCAAACTTTCCGTCTCAGCGAAGCGGGTACATCGCACAGCGCAGCAAACACAATGGGCAATTGTGTGTGTGTGTGTGTGTGTGTCTATCTGTGTGTGTGTGTGTTTGTCTTGTCTGTCTGTGTGTGTGTGTCTCTGTGTCTGTGTGTCTGTGTCTCTGTGTCTCTGTGTCTCTGTGTGTGTGTGTGTGTCTCTGTGTGTGTGTCTGTCTGTGTCTGTGTGTGTGTGTTTGTGTCTCTGTGTGTCTGTGTCTGTGTGTGTCTCTGTGTCTGTCTCTGTGTGTGTGTGTCTCTGTGTCTGTCTCTGTGTGTGTGTGTGTGTCTCTGTGTCTGTGTGTGTGTCTCTGTGTCTGTGTGTGTGTGTGTCTCTGTGTCTGTGTATCTGTCTCTGTGTCTGTGTGTGTGTCTCTGTGTCTGTGTGTGTGTGTCTCTGTGTGTGTGTGTTTCTGTGTCTGTGTGTCTGTCTCTGTGTGTGTGTCTGTGTGTGTGTCTGTCTCTGTGTGTCTCTGTGTCTGTCTCTGTGTGTGTGTGTGTGTCTCTGTGTCTGTGTGTGTCTCTGTGTCTGTCTCTGTGTGTGTGTGTCTCTGTGTGTGTGTGTGTGTCTGTGTGTCTCTGTGTCTGTGTGTGTGTCTGTCTCTGTGTCTGTGTGTGTGTCTGTCTCTGTGTGTGTGTGTGTGTGTGTGTCTCTGTCTGTGTGTGTGTGTGTGTGTGTGTGTCTGTCTGTGTGTGTGTGTGTCTCTGTCTGTCTGTGTGTGTCTGTCTGTGTGTGTGTGTGTGTGTCTCTGTGTGTGTGTCTGTCTGTGTCTGTCTGTCTGTCTGTCTGTGTGTGTGTGTGTGTGTGTGGAGGGGGTTCAGGCTGTTTAAATGCCAGTCTCAGAGTCATGATAAGGGATGTAGGCCATACACACACACACACACACACACAGTGTGTCATCACAGCAGCACTAACCTCACCAGTTGGAATGAATGCCAGTCCTGTCCCAGCCCCTGGTGCAGATTGCAGCAGCCTGTTATTTATGGAGCTTTTTTTTTTGTCCTTTCCCCCCCCACCACAACCCCAACCCCCAGCCCCAACCCCCTTGTATTTCTGCCTTGAAGATGCGTGTTCCCTGTGGCTGTATCTCGGAGCCGGAGCTGTGGTCCTCTCTCCTCTCCTCTCCGCAGTGAGTCCAACAGGGGATGGATTCCCACAGACCATCCACAGGACCAGACTCCAAACCTTTGTCGGATCGGGATCGGTTTCTGCTCCCATTACACCACCACGGAGTGGATTCGTTCGGATTGGATCGCACCAGCTCCGGGCCGAGCAACTATGAACCATAATAATATTAATAACAGTCCTCGCGCTCGGATGCGGCGCCTCATCGCGGACCGTAACGTGAATCGGCTGTGTGTTTGCGGGCCAAACGCGGCAGCCGATGGCGCACGGCGGCGTCCCACAAACGGTCGTGGATTGAAGGGACCGATTTATTTTTTGGGGGGTTTTTCCTTGTTGCTTGAGAGATTGTTATCAGGCGTGCGGGGTAAGGTTTCGCCCCGCCGCGAATCGAACCCAGGGTCTCTCGCTTGCGAGGTGAGAGCTCTCCCTAATTCGCTACCGGGCTAAACTGAGATGTCTTCTAAGTCATTTCAACAACATTAATTCACTGGGCCAACCTGGCTCAGCTGATAGCACTCTCGCCTCAGAGTCAGGAGGTCGTGGGTACAAGCCCCACATCGGGACTTGGAGTCGCACAGTCCAAACTGACACTCCATCGCAGCGCTGGGGGGGGTGTTGCGTTGTCGGAGGTGCCGTCCTTCAGGTGAAATGTTAAATCAAGGTCACATCTCCCTTTTCAGGGGGACGTTAAAGATGGCGTGGCACTATTCAAAAAAAAAGAAGGGAGTTTCGCCTGGTGTCCTCGCCAATAAATCCCCCAAATAAAACTGATCATTCACTCCATGACAGTCAATTATTCTTCTTATTAATATTATTATAAGCTCTCCAGTGAAGCCTCCCAAATGGTCACATCAGTTTTAGGAGGAGATCTGAAGAAAATGGATTTTAACCAGTACGTATGTAAAATGTATGTAAAAGCTCCTCACACTCACTGTCTCCATTTTACACCACAGCGTCAGACAGCAATTTGATATTGAGGCTCAAGTTATGTTCGAATGCAAAAGGGAAGGAGATTAAATTCAATTCCGAACAACACCAACAAGCCGTGTCATGCGGAAAACACACATGCCTTAAAATGTCAGTACAAGAGACATTAAGTAACTAACTCGAGGGTAATCAACATCAAATAATGTCAGCACAAAATGTAATCTAGTTATTTGATATTTTAGATAGATATTCACATTTGGTTTGTGTGTCTGCTCAGCAGTCCATGAAGCAGACATGGTCGGCTGTTATAAGGTAAGGGGATCCTTCGTAGAGTTGACTCACTTTCTTAAATTGGTGTTAGTCTAATCAATCTATTTTATGTCAGTCACAGGCAGGCTTTATTCTTCTCTGCAGTGTCAGAGAGAAGTATCCTCTTTAAACTAATGACTGACAGAGTTAAGATTGACCTGTGACTGTACTTGCAAAGCTCATTAAATAAGCGTGTGTTTGCCCCAATCTTTGAGAAAGGCTTTTTTTTTGCCCCCTTCCAGGACATAACCAATAACAATTTATATTGAGGTACACAGAAGTGTACAATAATACTTAAAACTATTAAACTATTAGGCATGTGGACTAAGGAAACTTGCCCAACATTTTTGCTAATAATTGCAGTCAGGGACTTGAAATAAATTATGGGGACTAGTTAGTTGCTTTTATAAAAGCAACATTTCTGGATATCTCTTGAAAACAACATTAAAATTTAAGTGTGCTCCAACCCATTCATTTTCCTTGTTCAGCCTACAACTAATTTGCCAACAAACCACTATTTTATTTTTAAACAATGTAACGATATTCCCGGTAGAATTATTCAAAGGTAAAATCAATTATAAGTCTGAGGTATGCAATTATTTCAGGTCTGTTAAGGCTAACATTTGATAATAAGTGGATTGTTTTAGGAAATAAGATAATTAATCAGGAGATTCTTTAAATCCCATTATTGATGTACTCCTACTCAATCTGCTATTATTATTGAATGTACTGCCTTGGAGAAAACAGTCCTATCTATGATAATGGATTTGAGTGTACATTTTCAGTTAATTTATAGCCCTTTTCAAATTGCAATGAAACATAGACATAGGATTATTTATGACCATTTACTACTGAACATAATCTTCTGTCCTCCTACTACTCTGATTAGTCATTCTTCATAACCAGTTTCGAGAGATAAAGGGAGAATTACTGGCAAATCCTGATCTGTATATCCTACCATCCTATATATCCTTCTGTTACATTGGAGGCAATTTCTTTGACATTATTCTGGACTTTATTGAGGCATCTTGTTGACAGTTCTTTCAATGACCTGCAAGGGATTTCTATTGTCTCTAATAATTTATACACTTATTGTGAATTATTAAAGATTTGGATTAAACAGTCACATCTGATGATAATAATATTTGTTATAGTGCCTCATGTTGTTGAGATCTCAAAATACCAATAATAAGCATTAATAATATTATTATTTGCACCACACCCCAGAGGCCTGTAGTCCTGTTGCATGGTATAATTTGTTCCTGCTATATTTGTTTGGCAGTTTGATTAAACAGTCATGCAACCGGAACCAGCTGCAGACCAGGCTGAGTAAAGGTTTTCACTTTGAAATGGAGCCACTATTAGAATAGTTTTGACATCTGGTAATGTTATAGAACGTGATTCAACATACAATTTCAAAAAGGGTATCCGGGAGTATTTTTGAGAATATGACCACACTGAATCACACTGTGTCTGCAGTACAGTAATCCAAAACAATTAACACGTACATCAGGAACAGAATATTGACTAGGGTAAGATTCGCTCACAGGGATAATGATCAAGTACAATGAAAGCCTAAGGTTATCCATCTCGTTACCACAAACTACATCTCAGACAGTAATGAGTTTAGAACAGATCCTGTTGTGGGTTATTTTCTTTCGTCAGTATCAGTAAATTGAGAATTTTTAATTTGGATGTCAAGTGGTGTCTGTCTCTTTTACCAATTAAGTTGCAGTCATTCATATTATTACTTATTCCTACCATTAAAGGCAATGGGAATCAAGTGTATATGTGAATGTTATCCTGACTGGAGCAAGGGATATTTTTACCCCTTTCTCTTACAGTCACAGCGAACGAGGGGGCAGGGGGATATGTTAGCAGATATTCAACAGACAACTAATCAATACCATTTATGCCTCAAGAGTAAAATAAGACGGCATATGTTACAAGCAAATAATTAATACCTTTCGCATGAGTGGCATGGAACAGTATTTTGGTTATCCACGGACTATTCTTTCGTGGTGAGTCAGTCAATATTGGCTGAGACAAAGGTAGAGGCACGACAATCTGTCTTCATGCGAGCCAGTGGGCTGAGTGGTTGATCAGCTGGAGCATGTGGATAGCAAAGCTGGGGAGGCTGGCAAGCGGGGCCTTGGAGAAATCCAGTTTTGGAGGTGAGAACAGCTAGGATAAGAGCGTCACCCACATTACATAGAGCTGGACATGGGCGATGATGCGAGGATGAAACAAATGCTGCAGCCTTGGTCAGGGACAAGATGTAGGGAAGGAGAGCTTAGGATCAAACAGAACACCAAGGTTGCACACAGATTCAGTGATGTGAAAACAGCAACCGGGAAGAAGTTAGGTAATAGGTAATAGGAGCTAGAGGTAAAGAGACAGAGATGGAGCCAATTAAGAGACCTTCAGTTTTGAGGGGGAAGAAAATCACCAGTTTTCTGCTATACTGAGGAATTCAATGTGATCATCCACGATTAGGTCATGAAGAGAGCGATTTTCATTGGAGAGGGAGCACATGTTTTACAGGGCAACATACACAGGGCTGCGGATGAGAGAAATTGCTGGGGAGAGCGAGATAAGGGGTCTGCAATGATAGCGATCGGGGCATGAGTGGGGAATCAATAACTTCTGAACATTTATTCACAAGCTCACAATTGAAGAATTGTCAGTGAGGTACAAAATGCTGGCATCTACGGAACCACATCCCATTGAGAATGAGAGGTTTCCATAGAGGAGGGATGGGGGCGTATTGGAGAAAAGGGAGGGGGAGTATTTTATTTATACCACAAGTGTCATTTTTGTCTAAAAAGTAAATTATGCTAATACAAACTAGTGAAAGCAAAGAGTTTACCTATACTGCTTGCAAACCTTAACAATGTTTGCAAACATTGCAAATGAAGGCACTGTAAATACGAATATGATATGAATTTCAATACTGACTTTGACAGAGCACCTATTTCAGAGAGAGTTGCAAAACCAATTTTCACTGAATACCCTCAAGCACTCTTACGTCATGGAGTTAAACGTTTCGGTAGCTAAATCACCAGTGTTTATGCACTACACTTGATAGCGTAACATTCTCAGGTTTTGATCAAATATTGGAAATGCAGTATAAACAGACAAATTCATATTTCTGCATTGGTAGCAATTGTCCTGCACTAATCATAACACACAACAACAACATTACATTTGTATAGTGCCTTTCACGTTGGGAGGACATCCCAAGGCACTGGACAGTGTACAGCATTTCAGACCCGAGCTGGAGGGAGAAGGGAGGAGAGGAATAAAAGAAACTGGCAGTCCTCTGTATCATGACTTGTATTTTAGTGAATGCAAGGAGTCCAAGTCACAGCATAGGAGGTGATGGTGACTAAGCTAGTGCTAGCTCACCCACTGAAGCTAACTTTCCAAATTGAACTGCATGCTCTTTGACTGTCTGATCAGTTCCAATTACTAGCAATCCCACCAGCAGTAAGACGTCACCGTCTGCGGTATGCGTAAAGTTCTGGCTTCACTGTCATTGCAAATGCCAGCAGATAGTACAAACAGGAATGACAGAGCCCTGCACATACTGCTGTGAAAATACTTCATCTCCATGGCTGTTTGTGGGGCATTGTTGTGCACAGATTGGCTATCACATT